GTGGTGAGTTGGGGTACATGGAGCAGTCAGGCCAGGTAGGTACCAGGGACCCACTTGTGTTCTGGCACAGGGATGCTCTTAGGGCCACAATTGCCAATTCCAGAAGTTCAAAATTCAAGATTTTGATCCCCCCCCCAAATCTTGAGATTGAACCAAATTTTTGTTTTGATTCAACTGCTGAAAACTGAAACATTTTCAAGATTTCAAAATTTGGGGGATTGGCTTTTTCCTATTTCTCCCAATTTTTCCTTTTTTACCTGAGTGCAATAGATGAACATCTACATTTATTCTGTCACCTTTTCCTCTCTCCTTTTTTGACTAACTTTTCAGAATTTCTCCATAATTTCTCCACTCTGGCGGATGCCTTAGCTCAGGCTGGGCAGATGCTGGCTTGGAGGGTTTCGCTGTTACCCAACATCAGATTCACCCCTTTGGAGCAGGGCTTTTGCCAAACCCTGGAAGAAATGGCTTTATTGAAAAGCTGTGCTGGCCCCTAACCTGGGCAAGCCCCTCTCTAGGCTGGGCTAACTCAGCCCTAGATAAGGGCCAGTGTGGAGCCCCACAGCCAGGGGGGATCTTGGGAGGGAATGTGCTGTGGGGACAGTGCAGTCTGCTTCGCCTTATGGGCTGGGGCGGAGGGAGCAGCACCATACTCCAGCCACTCCTCCACCCCCTTTGGGGCTGTGTGTGCCCCAGGGGGGCTTGGAAATGGTAGACATTACATCCCCCCTTCTCCTCAGCCAGTGTCTGCCCCTTGGCTCACTGCACCTTCCCTGCCCTGCTAGGTGCCATCAGCTCTCTGGGTATACAGCAACAGGAATCAGATGTAGAGGAGGGAGAGGGAGAGAAAGGTCTGAGCTATTTAAGGACCTGATGCAGTCCTTACTCCCATGCAAAATGATGGGGTCTAAATTAGCTGTTACCACTCAAGAAAGAGATCTTGGAGTCATTGTGGATAGTTCTCTGAAAACATCCACTCAATGTGCAGCGGCAGTCAAAAAAGCTAACAATGTTAGGAACCATGAGGAAAGGGATAGATAATAAGACAGAAAATAATCATAATGCCACCCTATAAATCCAGGGTATGGCTACACCTTGAAGAGTGCCTGCAGTTCTGGTCATCCCATCTCAAAAAGTTCCATTAGATTGGAAAAGGTACAGAGAAGGGCAACAAAAATGATGAAGATATGAAACAGCTTCCATATTAGGAGAGATTAAAAAGACTGGGACTTTTCAGCTTGGAAGAGAGACGACTAAGCAGAGATATGATAGACGTCTATAAAATTATGAATGGTGTGGAGAAAGTGAATAAGGAAATGTTATTTAATCCTTCACATAATACAAGAACTATGGGGGACGGGGGGGAAAGTCACTCAATGACTGCCAGAAGCTGGGAATGGGCGACAGGGGATGGATCACTTGATAATTGCCGTGTTTTGTTCATTCCCTCTGAAGCACCTGGCATTGACCACGGTCAGAAGACCGGATACTGGGCTAGATGAACCATTGGTCTAACCCAGTCTGGCCGTTCTTAGGTTCTTGTTCAAGCAGGCCTGATTCCTGCAGGTAGTGTCACTGGAGTCAGCTGCTGAGCCCAGCGCTGGAGGCATCATGCAGGTGAGAGGCCCATTGGTTTAGATACCGTCCAGCACTGTCCCCGTCCCCATACTGCTCTGCATTCCATCCTTTGCACTTGTTGATGCTGCTTGAGGGTGGATGGCCATGGCACTGGGCAGAAGGGGCCCCCCGCTGTCCAATCAACACCCAGCTCCTTTTCCCAGCAGTTAGATTTTACTAAGAAGCCAGCAGCATGCACAAGTGGTTCTAACTATTCCTTTCTCATTGCAACACCTTTCATTTGTCTGGGCTGTCATGTTGTGCACTGCCCCAGCTTGGTTAAGTACAGTACAGTCTTCTCTGGTCTTGCCTCACCTCTGCCCTTTCGTGCCAACTGTACATTTTACCACCTCCTGCTCATTAAGAGATGTATTCAATACCAGTCCCAGTACAGACTCTACTCATAACCATCTGCTGTTGTTATCATATCAGCTCTATTATTATCTACAGCAGAATGTGAACTCACTAAGCAGAGGGTAACAATCTGTTTGCAAGGAAGTGCCCACTGACCATCTCAATAAGGAGGAGGTCAGCTATGGCCTCAGGGGTATCAGTGCACTGCCCCAGGGAACATAGTTTAATTGGGTTAATCCTGAGTGTGCTTGAACATCAAACATGTGACCTCCTGGCAAACTACTGTAACTCCTCGCTTAACCATGTAGTTATGTTCCTGAAAAATGCAACTTTATGCGAAACGATGTTAAGCAAATCCAATTTCCCCATAAGAATTAATGTAAATGGGGGGTTAGGTTCCAGGGAAATTTTTTTCACCAGACAAAAGACTGTGTGTGTGTGTGTGTGTGTATATACACACACACACACACACACACACTCCCTCTCTCTCACTCACACACAGAGT